TGGAGGGCATTAATTCAGCCAATTTAGGGGCAGTGTCTAAGATGGAGGATAAATTACGGAGAATGAAGCTTTTTGTTATTATTTTGTGGGTTGTCTTTATTCTGATTTTAATGCCTAGGATTTAGTGTAGTTTGGTTATTATTGTTGTCCAGAGCAATGTAATGGTCATTTTGCTTCTTTGATGATCTCTATGTTTGTTTCAGTTTCTTGTGTTTTTAATGAATTGAAGTTATTTTGTTCAAGTTGAAATGTACTTGAAATGTGCTTACAAGAAAATATTTTATCGGCTAATAGTAAGATTTATCTTAACAAGAGAAATGACAATAAAGTTGGCACAAAAGAAGGCTCGACTATGGAGCTTAATTAAAGCTACAAACATACATTGTTTCTGGAATATTTACCTAACTAACATAGTTATTAGACAAGTAAATATGTGAGCCAAAAACTTATACCAATCTCACAATATTTACTTGTCTAAAAATATAGAAGTGAGTTACTTGTCTATTACAATCATCACAAAAAATAAATTGTCTATTACAGTCATCCCAATAACTTCTTACTTTACTTCCCCTTGCCCTTTCTAGTTTGAATCTTTCAAATTTTTTTCTCCTTCACACCCAATAACTGAGTTTGGGTCATTGCTTGCTTGCCTTTCCAAGTAGTCCTTGTTGGGGAATATGGCAGATTTGTTAGTTGTGAGCTACTCTGAAGTTTATCTTCATTGTCCCAGTATTTTGCTGTTGATTCTTTAGTTAAAGCCTTGTCATAATCTCAGAGACAACTTTAGGCCTCAATACTAGATTAGGTTTAGTCCCAAAATCTGAATCAAGTAGTCTTCTTGCAGTGTACTTGGTTCTTTTTCGACTTGGCTGTTGAGAAACATCACAAGCTTTCTGAGTGGGAAACTGACTTGACTGAGAAAAATCATATTGTTGTTGAGTGAGAAGCTGACTGGACTGAGAAATATCACAGGCTTGCTAAGTGAGAAGCTGACTAGACTGAGTAGCATTAGTAAATGCTGAGTTGTTTGCTGACTGGACTGATGGGTCTCAGTATATTGCTGAGTTTCCTGCTAACTAGACTGAGTAGTCTGAGTGTATTGCTGAGTTGTCTACGGACTGGATTGAGTAGTCTGAGTGGACTGATGAGTTGTTGACTGAGGTATAAACCTAGGATTAGGGAACACAACAAACTCAGTTGGTTTACTGGTTCTTGCACTGGCTGGGGTATCCCTTGTAGCTCCATGAAGTGAAATAAACTCGTAAGTGTCTTTAAACAAGTAGAAATGATAAAATAACTAGTGTTAGATGTAATTACCTTTATTGGACATTTTATTTGATTGTAGTTTGGTTTGCCACAGTAACCACAATGCATTTGAAGGTCTTTCCTAGAAGTTGTCGACGTGCCTTGCCTATTAATATCCTCATCTATTTCTCTTGTCCTTTTTACTTTTGGTATACCCGGGTGGTGGATCCATGGCATGGTGTGGCTCCACCTTCCAAAATTTCTTACTGTAATGACCCAACCGGTCGTTTTGAGTATTTTAGCCCTCATTCCCTTATTTGATATTTTACATATGTGTATTTATGATTCTGGGACTTGACGGGGTAGTTGATTTGGTTTTGGGAGAGTTTTGGATTGATTTGGAACACTTAGTCCCTTGGTTGAAGACTTAAGTTGTAAGAGTTGATCAGAATTTGACTTTTTTGTAGAAAACTCCAGAATGGTATTTTGATAGTTTCAATAGCTTCGTATGGTGATTTTGGACATCGGCGTATGTCTGGATTTGGATGTGGAGGTTCCTAGGTTGTTTTGGCTTGAATTGGCAAAAGTTGGAAAGTTAAAAATTTGGAAGGTTGGTAGGTTTGATCGAGAGTCGACTTTATTGATATCATGAGGGATTATCATGAGGGATTACCCAATGCTTAGGAGGGGTGCACCTCCACGGATTTCTCAGGCCCCACCTATTCCATAGGGTCCCCAGGCTTCTCAGGCCATGATTAATGCATCAGTTGCCACACCACCTGCATATCCAGCTAGAGGTGGAGGTCGGGCAGGTAGAGGTCGCCCTAGAGGGAGAGGCCAGATATTATGCCCTTCCTGCTAGGACAGATGTTGTTCCATCCGATTCTGTTATCACAGGTATTATTCTGGTCTGTCATAGAGATGCGTCAGTCTTATTTGATCCAAGCTCCACTTATTTTTATGTGTCATCTTATTTTGCCTCGTATTTGGGCGTATCACGTGATTTCTTGAGTTCTTCTATTTATGTATCTACATCTGTGGGTGAATTTATTATTGTGGACCGTGTGCATCGGTCGTGTTTAATTGTTATTAGTGGTTTTGAGACCAGAGCTGATTTATTATTGCTCAGTATGGTAGATTGCGATATTATTTTGGGCATGAACTGGTTGTCGCCCTATCACGCTATTCTTGATTGTTACGCCAAGACGGTGATGTTGGCTATGCCAGGTCTACCGTGGCTAGAGTGGAGAGGTACCTCGGATCATGTTCCTAGCAAGGTTGTTTCATTTCTGAAAGCTCAACGAATGGTTGAGAAGGGGTGTGATGCGTATCTGGCCTATGTGAGAGATATTAGTATTGATACTCTTACTGTAGAGTCAGTTCCTGTAGTAAGGGATTTTCCTGATGTATTTCCAGCGTATCTTCCGGGTATGCCACCCGATAGGGATGTTGACTTTGGCATTGATTTATTACCGGGTACTCAACCCATTTCTATTCTACCATACCGTATGGCCCCAACAGAGTTGAAAGAATTAAAAGAACAGTTACAGGAGTTGCTTGATAAGGGTTTCATTCGGCCTAGTGTATCGCCTTGGGGTGCTCCTGTCTTATTTGTAAAGAAGAAGGATAGTTCTATGCAGATGTGTATTGATTACCGCCAGCTGAACAAGGTTATCATGAAGAACATGTATGGATAAAAGTTTTTAGCAGAATCTTGAGTCACATCCACCAACAACATGCCTTGACATTTTTCCTTTAAAAAGGTACCATCAAGTGCTATAAAAAGTCCTATAAAAAGTCTCAAACTTGCTTTGAAGCCATTCTTGAGGGCCTGAAAGTACACATACATCCTCAAGAATCTCGTTTTACCTTCTTCCAAAGCATCCTTGGATATCTAGATAACCACATCCGAACCAGGATTACCGTCCCTCAATTATTGGGCATATGCCTCCAACTTGTTGTACTCATCTAAGTAGCTACCTTTTAGTTTCTCTAACACTATCTTTTTCACTCTTTTTAACTTTGACTGACTCACATTTAGCTTAAATCTCTCCTCCAGGTCACCCTTCATTTCTTTCACCTTGTACTTGGGAATATTTTAAACATTTCTCTTAAAATAATGAGCTAAGGTAGCAAGAGTAGCTCCTATATTCTCAAATGCTTCCCCACATTTATGTTCAACATGTAAAGTCTTTATCTTGGCTCCTTGGTTATTTTCATCCTTATAAATAAGACATCTAAAGGAACAACCAACAACACACTTAAATCTAAGTCTTTTCTTATCACTCTTAACTACCTCTAAGCCATCTTGTTTGCAACAGAATAAAAATGAGTAACCTCTTTTGCTTCAGCAAGATTCTTAAATGTCATACCCTTTATCAAGATTTTGTACCTATCAAGGTTGTTTGTTACCTCAAGTTTCCTTTGCTACTCAAATGCCCCCAATACAACATCACTATCATAATTATTTTGCATAAGTTCATTATTTGTACCCTCTTCCTCACTATCACTATCAATCCTAGCAGTTATATTTTCATTATTGGTATCAGTACGTTTAGTTATAGTAGGAACAACCATAGTATCATCAATGAGGTCAATAACAAATAAATTAATCACCCTAAAGTTTCATTAATGAGGGACTGGAGCTTCCTAATTCCAAATAACATCTACCACACGGAGCAATAAAAATCAGTTGATGTACCTTAACATGCTCTAGTACATCAGTGTATTATTTACACTAATCAATGTTGGACTAATGATCTGCTTCATACTCTCTCAATAGGCACATCTTTTTTACAATAAGATAAATTAAGTTTCAATTCCCAATCACCATCATGATTAAAACACAAATCTACTTTATCAACCATTCTTCTGACATATCCACATGCAAGAACAAAAATAAAATACAAAAAAGGGACCACATCAGTTAGGCATAAAGTCTAAAAGATATAAAGCAATAAACAAAATAAAGGACCACAGTTATTTTGACTAATACCCACCCAACAATACATATAAAAATAGAACTTTTTCATGCTGGACAAAGACGAATGGGCCCACCCCAAAAAAAATTAAAAACAAATGCATAAAGGAGCAAATAATAATATTATATGATATATTAAACACAAAAAAAGAGACAACATTTACCGATTTCCAAACCCTAAAAGTTTACCCAAAGTAGTAAATACTTACTTTTATCAGTAATTCTTCGGTCAGTAAGGCTAGAAATGAAAGATTCTTCAGTTTTTGTCCACCTAATCGAAGCAGATAGCAAGCCTAATTAAACCGTAAAGCGCCATTACTGAGAGCCCTAATTTGATGGAGAGGAGTAAATAAAATTAAATGGGGGTAAAAGAAATTGGTAGGAAGAAATATAGTATGTTTACTATGGGTTCGTCCGAAAAAATAGGGCGGATCGATATTTGGGGCGGGTTATAATTGATATGGACCAGATTGCCATGTGTCCCAATCACATTGTGACACTACATTAAAAGATGAGACCACAAATGATTATGTTAGTCGCAGGGGTAATTTCAGACCACAAGATAATATTAAATGTATTTTCAGACCAATAGGTGGACGGAGCGCAATAGTAAACCATTTAGAAGGGAGAAAACTCCACAAATTCAAAGACAAGGAACTCCAACAAAAGAAGGAAAAACTCCTACAAAGTCGGAGAAACCTCAAAAAGGAAGAAGAACCTCTGACAATAAGATAAGTTCAAAAGGAAGTCAAAACAAAAGCAAAGAAAAGGACATCGAGGCAAACAAGATCAAGTGCCGAAGCATGATTTAAACAAACGCAGATACAATGCAGTGCTCAAGGAGGGATTCATCACTTTCCTCCCAAATGAATATCCTACACATCCCCAAGCCTACATTACAAGTCGATAACAAGCCTTACATTATCCTATTTCAAGTGTTCTCATATTAGTGGATGCTTACATGAAGGCCAAGCATATGGTATCTCAATCGCGTGCATTGAACATCTTTTTGAGTGTGAATGTGCTTCCCAAAATATCCTACAATATAAATATTTCAAATGTGTGCAAATTAGGACCTTTTTTTTGGTGAGGGCACTTGAAACATGAGGATATGCAAAAGTCAAAATCATTGATTGAAGCAAGATGAACAAATCTTTTCGATACTTAGGTATACATGAGGTATCACTCGAAGCTATAAGATTACCCACAAGCCAATCTCGATTTATCGGATAATATATGATGGAAGTTTTTATGCACAATACTAATTATTGGTACCAACTGAAGTCAAGAAATGATTGATCAATAAATTATAGTCTTTCTTTACTCTTAATTTTTTTTTAACATTCTTTACAAAAATCACAAAGACAACAAAAAATGCAGAAAATAATAAAAAAGAGTCAAGTAGGTCCCCTTTTCATCAATTTTCTTGTGTGGGAAAGATAACTCCTTTCTTTTACAGGCACTCACCTTCTAACGCAGGGATTTCAAAGTCAAATTTTATATGCACCCACATTCTAATGCGGGCATTCCAAAGTCAAATCTACAAGCGTCCACCTTCTAATGCGGGCATTTCAAAGTTAAATTTTACAGGCACACACCTTCTAATTTGGGCAGCTCAAAGTTAAATTTTATAGGCGCCCACCTTATAATGCGGGTATTTTAAAGTCAAATTTTACAGGCCCCCGCCTTCTAATACGGGTAATTCAAATTTTATAGGTATCCACCTTCTAATATGGGTATTTTAAATTTTACAGGCACCCACCTTCTAATGCGGGTATTTTAAATTTTATAGCTCCAATCATTTCGGAACAGTACACAAACCGTCTAACCCTCAAATGCTCCAATCATTTTGGAATGGTACACAACCTGTCTAACCTTCAAATCAAATGCTCGGATCACTTCGGACCGGTACCCAACCTGGATTTATTTCAAATCAAATGCTCCGATCACTTCGTACCAGCACATAACCGGATTTTTTTCAAATTAGAGTGCTCCAACAAACTTGGATCAGTATCCAACCCGGATTTCTTTCAAATTAGAGTTCGCACCAGGGTCTTGGCACACCAACCTGGGACCCCATTTCATTCAATGGATCACATCATCCTTGCATCAAATACACATGCATCATTCAACCCATTACAATCCATCTCTCTCAAGACAAACGGAAGAATAGTCTACACCATATCAACTCTATCAATAGAAAAGACGTGGCATAACATGGAATTATCTTCTAGTAGCAAACTGGATAAATTTTGAGAGCGAACATCAAACTCCTCAATAGAAGCCGACGGTATGCTCCCAAGTATCATGCAATTTATATCCCATTTGTCATGGGGTGTATAGGTAATCTGTGTCCCTTGCATTAAAATAAAAACTCCAGTGTCATTAGAGCTTGATGTTTGGGCAATTTTAAAAATCAAAAATTAAATCCATTCTAATCCTGCTCTATTATGTTATCAACCAATTTATCGAACTACATTCGGCCTGATTCTCGTTACATTCGAGATATGTAGAAAACTCGGCAAGAGTTTGGTGGTACCCACATCAAAGTCCATCAATCTATCCATCATATCCAACAACTACGTCCCAGTGCCACCACATTTTGATACTGGGGCAATCTTAAAGCATTGTCGAGGTCACATGAGTCATTTTCGTCCTCGGACATTTGCGTCCTTTGTCTTTGACTCAATAAGGCTACAACCCACAAGTGGCACTCAATTGCATCCCAGAACTACACACGATCAGATTTTTGTGCAACCCGAGATTTGTAGGCAACTCAAACACTTGAGTTTGGTTACAATATTCAAAATCTCCTCTATTCCCCTACTACACATCATCTGTTTTTACACAATAGAAGTCGGGAAAAAATTAAGTATGGCGTCAATTTCTTTGCCCGAAGACTCTTACACCGTCTCCAGTCAAAGAGGCATAGCTGTTGACACTCAATTTTGGCCCTCGTTATTTAAAAATTAATTTATGTAGGCTTCCTAGCCGTTAATGATAAAATGTAGTCTTTTTGCGCAATTTAAAGTTTAATGCAATTTATTGATAATTATCTTTGTTTTTGCAAAATACGATTTTTTAATCATTTTACTGCAATTAGTTAAATACTACTTTTTTGTGCATTTTTTTTTAAAATTTTAAATAATTTACTGATAATTGTCTTATTTTTCAAATATAAGAATTTTTCTATCAATTTATTATCATCTAAAAATAAAATAATAATTACTACAATATTATTTTAGTCGTTGGCATTTTTCAAAAATACTACAAGCCACACTCTAGATTAAAATAATTATATTTTAATTTTATAGCACAGTCTATTAATTACATAGAAGCTAGTAGAATTTGTTTTTAAACGCGAAATTTTGGGTCGTGTCACTCTCTATATTGTACATGTTATTGAGCTACACATTTTATGAAAATGAGTATCTTTTTGACTTAAAAACACTGTCACTACTTCTCTGAGGTTATTCTAGATACTTACTGAGTACATGAGGTCGGTTATATTCATACTACATTTCTGTACCTTGCGTGCAGATTCTGGAGCTGAGTAGCTATGGAAGGCGAAGCTTTGCATTGAAGACGTACCAACGTTCCAGATTCAAGCTATCTCTTGTTCACGGTAGTATATGATTTCATTTTTGTTTATGTAAACTATAAATAAATATTGTATTTATTCTTCATACCAACCTTGTAAATCTAAATTATAGTGGCTCGTGACTTGTACTACCAGCCCTTGGGATAGTTGTATTGAATTCTTTTGCCGTTTTACTTACCGTAATCAATGATTACTCATTATAGTTGTAACTTATACTGTTTGGCTTACCTAGCAGGTTGAGTTAGGTGCCATCATGACTTGGCGGAGTTTTGGGTCGTAATAACCATATTGATACAGTATAAATAATATTAGAAACATATTCATTGTTAAAGAATATATTTTTTCCGTATAAGAATATTAATTTTTAATCATTAGTTTATATGAAATGTGTTTCTTCTCGAATTTCAACGAGAGAGATATTAGTTTCTAATTGATAGTTTTCTAAATCGATTTTCAAGTGTAACAACAATTATGTTTTTAAAAAATATTTGGTATGGCGTGAAATTTTTTTCAAAAAATATAAAAATATTACATTGAAATGGGGTGATTTTTTAAAATGTTGTTCTATTTTAAAAATAAAAAGGATAAGACATTTATGAATTTTAGTACAGATGTTTTTGAATTACTATAAGAGAAGTCATATCGCATATAAAATTAAGTCACTAAAATTCAAGGGAACTTTATATAAATATCCAGCTAAATTTACTATTTACTTTTTATATCAAATATACATAGATGATACATTGACTACACACGATTAAATACTATATATAAAGTACATATAAATTATACATTATTTAATTTCTTAATTTTTATGTGGTTGGGTAAGCACCTATTTAGGTTAATTCAATAAATCCAAAAGAAAAATACGAAAGAATTTCAACTAAAGATTAAAATATAAATAAATTTCTCATGTAGATATTTTTATTAAAACTCATTTTTTATAGTTGAAATAAATGGATTTTTTGTGACAAAATAAATAAATAAATAAGATAAAACAATAAATATTGAATAAATATATGGGAAATCTAAAAGGCATGGATAAGGGATGGTAACAAATTTATTCTTTTATTTCGTCTTTATTGAGTATAAAAAATTTGGATGCTGATCTTATCGATTTCAAATATTTCTTTCAACTCAAATACGTAGATTAAGATAAGGATATCTAGAATTCTATCTTTTTAATTTACATTATTATGTGTGTTTTTTTACATAAATACTATTCCTAACAAACTGATATGATATTCGAATTTGAAACTAAACAAAATTTGAATAGTTTGCATTGAGGTTAAGCCAAGTAACATGTCCAGAAAAAGCTACTTGGTAAATTTTAGGACAATATCTATACTGTTATGTAATAACAATTAGTGATTTTAACATTATATGAAAAGTATTCAAAATTCAAAATTTGTGGCCAAAGATATAGATAAACTCAAAATGGAGTCATAATTAAATAAAATTTTATCAGCTACAGAATCATTTAAATTTTTAGATAGCCAATTAAAGTGAATTTTGAATTAAGGATAATATCTTCACTTACATCATTATAAAGATAATCATTATTGAAATGTAAGTTTTAAAAACTGAAATTTTAAATTAAAATATTTTTTGAAAGATAACAACATACCAAATAAGAGTTCAAGTCTTATCTAAAGAGTCTTTCATATTGTCTCAACTTTAGTAGCTTTGCTATAAATATAAGTTAATATTTTACTTCCTGATTATTTTTAGGTTCCAATAACACTGTCGAGAATGGTATTGAAAAAGAAAATAGAATTATCCATTACGAGATTTTCAAAATGGTTATAAGTCTTTTCGTGTGTAGTGTTTCTTTATTAATATCTAATGATTATTTATATTTATCTAAAAGGTTTAAATTTTAAAGTTATTTACACATAATCCAAATAATTTAAATTACAATTTGAAATGGTTAGTGTCCGCACGTTTGTGCGGATACTAATACTAATTGTATATTAAATTACAATTAAGTTAAAGCCTCTTTAATAAGAATAAATAAGTTGACAATATAATACTATAGCTCCGTAAAAATCTCAAAAGAAAAGAAAAAACGGAAACCGGAAACCGGAAATATACAAACTTCAGCCAAAATCCAGTTTTAAGATTCCTGAAATAAAACCCTAAACCGGTAACCCAATACATAGTGTAATGTAAGAATAATCTCTCAATCTGAGCCGACCTGTTGATCCAACGGTGCATAGCACCACGGCGCTCGTGCTTATCACACTCCCCGTTTCCTTACTTCACTGTTCAGCGCACTTCCATTCTCTCTAAACCCCGTCTTCTCTTTCTCTCTCTAGAACAGTGACTTCATCCCCCAATGATCAATATTTCTCCTTTTTATCAACTAAATTGATGCTATGGTCGTTCGAAACTAGCTTAAATATTTGAACTGTTAAAAGTTAATTTAAGAAGAAATATCTTTTTTTTTGGGGCTAATTTTGAGTTTGAAATTCGCAGTTTTGGGAGGCGTAATTTAATGTTAGTGTTTTATGTGCAATGATTACTGATAGTTATTCAAAGATGATATCAATGGTAGGAGGAAGCAACGATTTTAATGATCGGGAGAGAGAGCTAAGCATGTTGCGAAGCGGTTCTGCTCCGCCCACTTTTGAAGGATCGCTTAGCGCTTTTGCTGATTTTGGTGGCCTTTCAGAGGAATTAAGGTCTGATCCAGCCTACATTGCCTATTACTACTCCAACGTCAACCTAAACCCTCGCCTGCCGCCGCCTCTTCACTCCAAAGAGGACTGGCTGTTCGTGCAGCGTCTCCAAGGTACTAATGCTGCAGCTAATGGTAGTTCTGTGGCATTAGGGGATATTGGAGATAAGAGGAAGTTGATTCGAGGTGATAAGGGAGCTGATGATAGGTCACTTTTTTCGATGCAGTTGGGATTTTGTCAGGAAGATGGAGATGTTGGAAAGGAGGATGAGAAGGAATGGCGCGGAGATGGACTTATTGGGTTACGTGGGCTTGGATTAGGAAGCCAGCAGAAGAGCATTGCTGAGATGATTCAGGTACAAAGAGAAAATAAAATATTATTATATTGGTTTTGGTTTGTCAGCTCCACGTTTCTAATTGATGGCTGTTGATATTTGTTAACTTGTTTATTGTGCCTGTTTAGTAAATTTTGAAACATTATTCCTGTTTATAGTGTTTGTTGAATGCTTTCTGTTTATATTGCTTTTTGCATCTCAAAGTTGGTTCTTTGACATTGCATTGGCATGCTTATGACTTAGGGGTCGTTTGGCTGTCAGTCATCCATGTATTAAAACTAGCATAACTTTGTACATTGTTTGGCTACAAAAATGGAGGAAAATAATCTCCGCATAGAATCTAGCATAAGTTATACAATGTCTGGTTGGGTTTTTCTTTTTTCCACATAAAACATAGCATTGCTAATACAATATTTGGTTCATGTTTTCCTTTTCCGCATAACTAATACATGTATAAGTTGTGAGGGAATCTATGTATTATTTATGCAGAGTAGAAGGTGGAATAACTAATGCAGGTTAGTAATACACGGATTAAAACACAAAATGACAAGAATACCCTCTATTCAAAGTTGTATTTAAAAAAAAAAACATATTTAAAATATACTTCCAATTTTAGTAGAATAAATTAAACAAATTATTACTAATACTCACATTACATTTTTATATTACTAATCCCTACATAATTAATTTTCGTATAACTAATCCCTGCATACCTAATTCTCGTGTTACTAAATCTTGCATAACTAATCTCTGTATAACTGGTCCCTGCATAACTAAACCCTGCATAAATTATCCCTACTAATACATTATTAATCCATGCATAACTCGTGTTCGAACCAAACAGCCCTTTAAGGTTGTAGCTCTCTGCATTTTTGGATATTGCTTGTCTGTAGCATTACTGTTTGTATTCATGTATTAGTGTGATTTGCACGATTGCCACTTCTTTAACCAGATGCCATTATTGCTGGTTGTCGTTTTCCTGATTGTCGAAGTTTGATAATTAGTATTTTGTGATACGTGTTAAGTTTTTCCACCTGTGCCTTTTGGGTTACCTTGGACAAAAAAGGAAAAAGGAAAGGAAAAAGGAAAAAGTAGCTTAACATAGTTAAAACTTAAAACGTATACGCTTGGCTTTTATATGGTAAATCAGCTCAAAAGCTGGTGGTCGGTGGATCAAGCTCGTGTCCTTTAATTGTTGTGGTTGGAAAAAATATGTGAATTGTCTATTGTGCGTGCTTGTTTTGTTCTGAAATCTTTTGAAGTTTGACTGTTTAATTTTTTATGTCTGCCAGATTTCCTGTTATTGAGTCTCTGCAGTTCTCATTTCTTACAATAATTGTTCTTCATTAAGTTGGAGTCACACATTTGTGGTTTGAGTCATCTTGGATTCTTTCAGGGA